CTCTGCACCGACCTGCGTCCCTGCTCAACGAGGTCGACGTCGCCCACGACGGAGGTTGTGGCCCTGCGGGCGATCGTCTCGAAAACGAAGTCGACGCCGGACAGGATGCATGCTAGACTTGCGCACGTCGGCATGGACACCATCAGGAGCTCGGCGAAGAACGAGGTCGCCATTGGGCTGGACCTCAAGTCGGCGACGGGCGCCGACTCACCGTGTGTCTCGTGTGTCGGCGGGAAGCTGGCGCGGCACACCTTCCCCGACCAAGGCTCCGACGCCGACGACGTGCTGGCCGTCGTGCACATCGACCTGTGCGGGCCGTTCCGCGTGGCTGCCAAGGACGGTAGCCTGTACTTCCTGCTGCTGAAGGACCGCAAGACCCGCTTCGTGTGGGTGAGGCCGGTCGCCAAGAAGTCGGATGTGTTGCTGGAGTTCCAGAAGTGGCTGGTGTTGGTGGAAAGGCAGACGCAGAAGTCGGTGCTGATGCTTCGCTCCGACCGAGGAGGGGAGTTCCTCAGGAAGAAGTTCACCGACTTCGTGGATGGACAGGGGATCGTCCACGACCTTACCTGCCCATACACCCCGCAGCAGAACGGCATGGCGGAGCGGGAGATGAGGACGGTGGTGGAGTCGGTGCGGACGATGCTGCTGCACATGGGCGTGCGGCACCACTGGTGGCACCTCGCGCTGCGGCAGGCCGTCTGGGTCCGCAACTGCCTTGAGCGGTCGACGCTGCCGCCGGGGACGACGCCGTACCAGCTGCTGGTCGGCCAGAAGCCCGACTTGTCGATGGCGAGGGTGTGGGGCTGTATGGCGCAGTTCCTTGTCCCCAAGCAGCAGCGTGGTGGGAAGCTGAAGCCGAAGGCCAGGTGGGGCCTTCACCTTGGTGTGTCGGCGGCGAGCAAGGGCTGGGAGCTCCTCGACGTCGACGCCAACCGGGTAGTCACCACGTCGGACGTGGTGTTCTACGAGGAGATGTCGTTGGCCGAGTGGAAGTCGGAGCACGGGCCGGTGTCCGGCCGAACGCCATCCACCCCGCCAACCGACACCTCGTCAGCGACAATGCCTCTGCTCGCCGAGGTCGGTGAGTTTGCTGCTGAGGATGTCGAGGCCGTCCGCCCTCCTTCCCCTCCCTCTCCGGCCTCTGCCCCTCCGCTCCTGGCCGACCTGCGCGGGCTGACCTCGGTGTCGGCCTTCGGCGATGAGGGGAGTAGTGGGCCGTCGCCTTCGGCGCCGACCAAGGGCATCGCCGGTGGCCGACGTGACGAGCGGCAAGTCGACGTGGGATTGAGGCCGACGTCGACAGGGGAGGAGCAGGTCGAGGAGCAGCAGCCGACAGGGGAGCCGGCAGCAGTGAAGCCAACCACGGAGCAGTCGGCAACCAGGCAGTCGGCAGGGCAGCCGACCACAGGGGAGAGGTCGACCAGGAAGTCGACCGAGGTGCAGCAGGACGACGAGGGCAGTGGAGGTGGTGACAAAGGAGGGGACGCCGGGGAGTCCACCAAGAGTGACGTGGTGGAGGTTCGGCCTGAACAACGAAAGTCGGATCGAGTTCGGAGGCCGCCGGACTTCTTCGTCCCCGCTGCCTTCACCACGGTGTATGACGTGGACGATGACAACGACCTGCTGTACGACGACGCCGAGGACGATGAGGAGTTTCCGGAGCTCGACCCGGACATGCTGGCCGACCCTGAACACCGCTGGGACATCTCGACGATGACGGTGAAGGAGGCTTTGGCGAGCTGGAAGGGCCCGGCGGTGAAGGCCGCCATGGAGGAGGAGATCCGCAGCCTCCTCAACATGGGCACTTGGGAGCTGGTCGAACGCCCACCGGGGGTCAACATCATGAAGAACCGGTGGGTGTTGACGACGAAGTACCACGTCGACAACACCGTCGAGCGCGAGAAGGCGAGGCTGGTCGTGAAGGGCTTCACGCAGGTGTACGGCGCCAACTACGACGAGACGTTTGCGCCGGTGGGCAGCTACGTCACGCTGAGGATCTTCCTCAGCATCGTTGCCGTCCTCAACCTCAACCTGATGCAGCTCGACATGAAGAACGCCTTCCTGCAGAGCAGGCTCGACCGGGTGCTCTACATGTCCCAGCCGGACTACTTCAACGACGGAACTGGCCGGGTCTGCAAGCTGCTGAAGAGCCTGTACGGGCTGAAGCAGTCGCCGCTGCTGTGGTACTTGGCGCTCAACGACGTGCTGGTCGGCGCCGGGTGGAAGAAGAGCCAGGTCGACGAGGCTCTCTACTTCAAGGTCGGAAAAGACGGAGTCGCCTGCTGGGTTCTGGTCTACGTCGACGACTTGCTCGCCGCCAACAGCAGCACCGAGATGCTGAAGGAGCTGAAGGAGCTGCTGGAGTCTGCCTTCGAGCTGCATGAGATCTCGCCGGTACAGAAGTACCTCGGGCTGGAGATCGTCCGCGACAGGTCGGCGGGGAAGCTGTGGCTGCACCAGCAGGGCTACGCCGACAAGCTGCGTAGGCGCTTCATCGACGAGGAGCAGACCGGGCGCACCCCGAAGACGCCGGTCTCGGTCGAGGCCTACGCCGAGCTCACCTTCGACGACGAGGAGGCAAAGGAGCGGCAAGAGGAGGAGTACCGGCAGAAGGTCGGCTCGCTGCAGTTCGCGACAACAACGACGAGGCCGGACATCGCCTTCGCCTGCAGCAAGCTGGGAAGCGGCCTCACGGTGAGGAGCGACCAGCACTGGCGTGAGGTCGACTGCTGCCTCGCCTACCTCGCCAACACGCATGACACCGCCCTGGAGTTCAGCGGTGGACCTGAGTCGCTGGAGCTGGTCGGCTACGTGGACGCCGACGACGCCGGTGACAAGCAGAGGAGGACGAGCACGGGCGGCTACGTATTCATCTACGGAGGGGCCGCAGTCTCCTGGTCAAGCCAGCGCATCAAGTGCGCGACGTTGTCGTCGACTGAGTCGGAGTATGTGGTGGCCACCGAAGCCGGCAAGGAGGGACGTCGACTTCGCTTCCTCCTCGCAGAGTTCCAGCAGCTGGATGCCGGGAAGCCGACTGTCCTCCGGGTGGACAACAAGTCGGCCATCACGGTCGCTGAGGGCATGGGGTTGACGGGCAACCTCAAGCACATGGAGCGGCGACAGGCCTGGCTGCAGCACATGGTGAAGCGTGGGAAGTTTTCCGTGAAGTACATCCCGACCGCTGACCAGCCGGCCGACTTTCTGACGAAGGCGCTGCACTATTCGGCCTTCAACCGGTGCTCCGTTGCCATTGGCCAGGTGCGCTTGGTCGACGTGGGCGACGGGGACAACGATGTGCAGTAGTAGGTGCCATGCCCTCCTGCATGGCTGGTGCGGTGACCGGCGTGCTGTGTGTTGGGTGCATGCCGACGAGCTATTCTTCGAGCAGTGATGCCGTGTGGGCTGGGAGCCCAAGCGTGAACGCGGCAGGGGAGTGTCAACGGGAGTTGTTGTTGGCCCCGTCCTCGCTTGGGCGGAGCCGACTTCGTGGTTGGGTGTACGGGAGGTACAGCCGACTTGTTGCAGTGGGCGACACCGACTTGGGCGAGCTGGTCGACGGGGTTGGTCGACTTGCACGGGGCCACTGCAATGCCGCCGACTTGCTGGTCGGCGATGTGGCACGTCGACCCGGAAGTCGGCGCCGACTTGCAAGGTCACCGACTTGGGAGGTCGCCGACTTCAAGAGGTCGGCCCGGAAGTCGGCGCCGACTTGGTGACGCCGACTTCGGGTAGCCGACGTGGGTGGTCGGCTGACAACTGCGCTGGTCGACGTGGAGCTGGTCGACCAGGAGTGACATCGACCTGGAGCTGGTTGACCAGAGGTATGGTCGACCTGGTGAGGTCGACTTGGGGTGGTCGTCGACATGGGAGGTCGACGAGCACATACAGGAGCAGCTGGTCGACATGGTTGCCCGGTCGACCGGGATACCTGGGTGACGAGGTTCTGCGAAGGAGTGCGACGGTCGCCCAGGCGAAGTTGGCGAGTCCGACCTCGGTGGTGGTATCCCGAGGTCGACGTGGCGGATCAGGTGGAGCTGTCAGCACGAGGATGACTTGGTGCGTGCGCTGTTCAGGTGACGAGGCTTAGCCCGCCAATGATCTACGAGCACCTGCGAAGTAGGTGCGCTGCTGTTCTGCGGGAGCAATGCTGGCACGCCGTCAACCTGCAGCGTTGGCACGCCGTCGACTTTGCACTGCTGGAGCGCGGTCGACCAAGTCGTGCTGGAACGCGGTCGACCATGCTGTGCTGGCAGTCGACCGACCTGAATGCTAGCTCTGATGTAGTCTTGCCATGCCAACTGATTTGGACCATTATTGTCAACTTTCTCGAGTGAAACTCTTGCCAAATTGCCCCGTGAACTAGCAAGCAGTGTGAGCATTAGGAAAACGACTAAGGACCAATGAACGCAGAGATCACAGGAGCACCCGTGCCTAGCCCGTAGTCTAGCTCCCGTTGTAGTAGTTATCTCCGCACGTTCTAGTGCACGTGATTGGATTTACACTTAGTACGTCCCTCGACAAACATGGACCCTTGGTTAGGGGCTGGCTTTGCCAGGCACCCGAGCACCCTTGGAGGTGACCCCGTGGGGACTAACTAGTGTGTATTAAAGGCGTGCTTAGAGCTTATAGATCCCATATACTAGTCAACACTCCCCACTCCACCCACCACACCCAATCACAGTTCGCGAATCGCTTGTGCGCTAGTTGTAGTTTTGCACCAATGAGCGGTGGCCGTCTCCGCTCACGCTAACACTGTGAACCACCAGCCGAGCAGATCCAAGCTTGGCCATTCCCATCGCCTCCCAGACTCCCGCTTCCAAGTAGTACTGATGGAGTTTGGAGTGTATTTCAAGGGCCATCTCCGAGCACCTAACAGGAGTCCTCTGCGTCGGACGCGGCGTCGTTCTTAGGCAACTTACTCACATTCCGCACTCGACGCTCTCGGCGTGCGATCTACTCTGAGTGAAAGGCTTTGTCGGGGGACCCCATCTTTCTTCGCTATGGGGAGGATGACTTTGGGTGCCTCTCCTGCCGGCCTCTTGCTCCTCGCCGCGCTCGCCCTCATTTGCAGTCAGTCTACTTTAAAGTTCCTGCTCTCGTTTTTATCGAACCCCTTCTCAACTGTCTCTTCTTGTTTCCTCCTCTTTCTTGCATGATGTGGCATTGTTCACGCATAGCTCATGAAGGATACCTCAACGAAAGCATCGCTTTGTTGGCATGTTTTGGGGGCCAGGAATATTGTGACGTTGTTCTCCCATTTCTGCCCTGATTTCCCTTCTCGGCACGATTCTCGCTTGTGCTTTCGCTTGCCCACTGTTGAAAAGACCACACGGCATGACACGGTCAACGCCGCAGCGTACGGAGATGACACGCTCAACGCAGCGGCCAAACCAGCGAGCAAGAACGACGCGAGGAGGGCTCTCGTGACCACCAGCAATATCATCGCCACCAGCGGTGGCAGCGGCGGTGGAGCTGCGGGTGAGAAGGTCAACGCGAGGAGGGCTCTTGCGACGACCCCCAGCACCCCCAGCTTGCAGGTTGCGACGGCGGTGGTGGTGGGCAAGACGCGGCTGGACTTCAGCAAGCAGGTGTGCGTGAGCGTGCCCAAGAAGGCGCGGCAGAAGAGCGCGACGGTGTGGTGGAAGGGCGGCGGGGACTCGAGCACCGCGTCGGCGGGCGGTCAGTGCGCGCAGGTCAAGTTCTTCAGTAAAGCTGTCTGCCAAGGCACGGCGCTGGACAGCATCGCCAACCCGTGCACATCTGGGTGAGTTGGGGTCGGTCGTGTGTCCGTGTGAGATTGGGGTCGTATGTCTATGTGACTTGGGGTTCTCAAACTTATATGCTATAGTCTGTGTAGGCTGTAGTGGGGTAGACAATATGGGTTACAACACTTTTAGGTTTTCCTACTTGTACCCACCTGTTTGCCAGTGCATTCATTCCTCGTTCTTTCACATGGTATCAGAGCAGGTTCCCTAGTGGGAACGTTTCCTAGGGCCCACCGAAAATCGACTTTTTTTTTCCTGCCCGGAGCGCGCTTTGCCCCTGCCCGAGTCGCGCCCCGTGTGCCTGCCCTCCCGTCGCGTCCCCTGCCCTTAGCGGCCCGTCGCGCTCCCTTACGGCCTCGTAGCGGCCCCTCTCTCGGCCCCTCACGGCCCCTTTCACAGCCCTTCGCGGCCCCTTCAGGCCCCTCGCGGCCCCTTCGCGGCCCCGTCGCCGCCCTCCGAGGCCCCTCGCGGCCCCTTCTCGGCCCCGTCGCCGCCCTTCGCGACCCCGTCACCGCCCGTCTCGGCCCCGTCGCCGCCCTTCGCGGCCCCGTCGCCACCCTTCTCGGCCCCGTAGCCGCCCTTCGCGGCCCTTCTCGGCCCCATCGCCACCCTTCGCGACCCCTTCTCGGCTCCTCCGCGGCCCCTTCTCGGCTCCCTCACGGACCTGCCGCCCCGCCGTCGCCGCCCCTGCAGCGGCAGCCAACGCTTCTCCAGCAGCGGGAGCCGCCACCGCCGGTGCCGCCGACAGCAGGCAGCCGCCGCCGCCACAGCCCGGGCCGCATCCGCCGCAGCAGCCTACAGCAGCAGCAGCCGCCGACGGCAGCAGCCGCAGCCGCCACAGCCGGGGCCGCAGGCGCCGCCTGCAGCTGCCGTCACCGTCGACAGCAGGGACCGCCGCCGCTGTCCCGGCCCTGCCCTGCAGAGCGGAGCGGCGCTCCTCTGCCGCCCTGTAGCGGCCCCGTCCCTGCCGACGCGCCTCGGCCTTGCCCCACCACTTGCGGCACTCTACCCACCTGCCCTGGTAAGAGCACCACCGAGCCGCGCCCCTCCTGTTGCTACTGCTGCTGCTGCCCCTAGCCTGCTGCCACTGCTGTCATGGCTACCCCTAGCGTTCTCGTCTTTGATGCTGAGGGTCGGGCTGTTGACTTTGAGGTCTGGGTCGATGATCTACAGCTTTTCCTACAGTGCGATAGGAAAGACGGTCTCTCAATGTTCGATCTCACGTCTGGCGCCTCTACTGCCCCTGTTGCCGATGCTGACAGCACTGTTCGCTCACAGTGGGCCACACGCGATGCTGCTGCCCGTCTTGCTGTGCGTAGTCACCCGCCGTCCACTGAGCGCGCGCACTTTAGTCAGTACAAGAGTGCTAAGACCTTGTACGACGCTGTAGTTGCACGCTACTCTTCCCCTGCCACTGCTGCCCTTAGCCGCCTCATGCTGCCGTACCTGTTCCCTGACCTCGCCGCCTTTCCCACTGTCGCTGACCTCATTACGCACCTTCGCACTAGTGACACCCGCTACCGCGCTGCGCTTCCTGCTGAGTTCTGCGCCAAGAACCCCCCCCCCCCATGTACATCACCCTCTACTACATAGTCACCCGGCTCCCTGACTCCCTTCGCTCGGTCAGGGACCACTTCCTCTCTGTTTGCCCCACCACACTCACCGTTGACCTCCTCGAGGAGCGCCTCCTGGCAGTTGAGAAGAGTATAGTCGCTGTAGGAGCCTCTCGTGGTGACCCTCGTGCCCCCTTCTTTGAGAGGTGCTCCCCCTCCCCCCTTTTGCCCTCTGTTGCCTCTGCTGCTGCCGTCGACTTCGTTGGCACCGAGTCGGTCGGCGCTGCGTCTGCCCCTAGCGGGAGACGCCGCACCGGCAAGGGCAAGGGAGGCAAGGGAGCTGGAGGGGCTGGTGGGGGCGGTGGAGGTGGCGGTGGAGGCGGCGGAGGGAGTGGGGGTGGCGGTGGGAGTGGTGGCGGGGGTGGGGGCTTCGGTGGCGGCGGTGGAGGCGGAGGCGGCGGCGGCGGTGGCCGTGGGAGCAGAGGAGGAGGTGGTGGCGGCGGTGGCGGAGGTGGCGGCGGCGGAGGTGAAGCTGGTCGGGGTGGCTCTGCGCAGCGGAGCGGCTTCGGTGGTGGTCAGCGCCAGCAGAAGCAGCGCACTCGTGACACCCTGCCCCCCCAGCAGCTTCGTGAGTGGTACGCTGCGCGTCAGCGGGGTGGGGGTGGTGGTCCTTGTGCCTACGTCCTGCGTACCGGCGACCGCACTGGTGAGCAGTACGGTGGCCCGCACACCACCTAACGCTGCTTCGGCCGCCTGACGGACGCCTGGCGTCTCCAGTTCCCTGACGCCACTGAGATCCCCCGCTGGGGTGAGCTGCTTAGGTCGGGGGTTGCTATCTTTGATCTGGATTATGATGCCATTCTTGCTGCCATGTATGTTGTGTCTACTAGTGATGAGGGTGACTGTTACATGTGTGTCCCGCCTGACCCGGGCATCGACGCTGCTGCTCTAGGTGCTGGTGAGGCTGCTGCTCTAGGTGCTAGTGCGTCTGCTGCCCCAGGTACTGGTGAGTCTGCTCTCTCAGGTACCACGTCGGCTCAGGCCTTACACACCTTCACCCTTGACTCGGGTGCTTCCCGCTCCTTCTTTCGTGACCGCACCACGCTTACGCCGCTTAGTCGGCCAGCTGCGGTCTCCCTGGCGGACCCCTCTGGGGATCCTGTCCTTGCCCGCTTCTCCACTGTCTTACCGTGTCCGGCGGCCCCCTCTGGCACCCTATCCGGTCTCTACCTCCCCTCGTTCTCTACGAACTTGGTGAGTGGTGCTGATCTACAGGATGGGGGGGTTGACCAGTTCACTCCTGCGAGTCAGCGGGTGACCCACTGTACGTGTGCTCGGACGGGCCGACACTTGGCCACGTTTACCCGTCAGCCGGGGTCGAGCCTATACACACTGACTATTGAGTCTCCTCCGGTTGCTGAGTCTGGTCAGGTAGCTGCGTCGGGTCAGGTGTTTGCTGCGGCGTCCAGGTCTGGTCCTGAGTTTGCTCCCTGCTCGTGTCGTCTCCTGTCCCACCGGACTCTCCTCTGGCACCACCGCCTTGGTCACCCCTCCCTGTCTCTGGTCTCCCCCGGTCCCTCCCTCCCCTCCCTCCGGGGCCTGCCCCTACCTGCGTTCCCTGTGTCGAGGGGCGGCAGCGCGCCGCCCCTCACTCCTCCGAGTTTCCTCCGACAGAGGCTCCGCTGCAGACTCTTCACATGGACGTGTGGGGCCCCGCCCGCGTCCGTGGCCAGGGTCACGAGCGTTACTTCCTGTTGGTGGTTGACGACTACTCGTGTTACACCACGGTGTTCCCCTTGCGCAGCAAGGGTGACGTCACTGAGGTGTTGATCGACTGGATCCGCGCGGCTCGTCTCCAGCTCAGAGAGAGTTTCGGCTCGGACTTTCCAGTTCTGTTGGTGCAACCCTACGGTTTGCACTCGGCTTGTTGTCCGTGTGCGTGAATGTGTGTGTGTATGGAATGGTATGAGGGCATGGGATAATCTATATTTCATGCTTATAATTGTGTGTGAATGTTGAGTCATGATGTCGAGTGTGTGTGTCGAGTCAATAGCGAGTTATCGCTAGACGCGTGTTACGCGGTCGTTTGTGTCTCGCGCGCGGTTTCTATTTTGTCGTGCGCGGTTTCTATTTTGTCCTGTGTCGAACGTTCGGCGTGTCGCAGGTGTGTGCAGCAGACCCATCAAGAACTCAAGGATGAGTTTGTGATGAAGAGCCCGAGCCTTGGTGTCAAGCCTCAAGTGATTTCGAAGCTTGCCAAAAGGGTACACCTCAAGATATTGAAGATAGTTACATTACTTTGTGTAGTGTAACATTTCACTTGGTGTAGGCCCTAGTGAAGGGTAGTTTCGAGACCCTTCGTGGTTGGGGACAGTGTGGCACTGTTCCACATCACTGTAACTCGGCTCTTGGGGTTTGTAGGAGCTGGGAGTCATTCCCAACTCGTAACTCTTCCTATCTTGTGTTCTAAGACTATAGTGGCTGCCATAGTACCGTTCGTTCAAACCGACGCTGTGTCGTCAATTCTTTATCAAATCGTGCAGTCTAAATTGCTAATTGTAGACGACGTGAAGACGCTCCAGATCCAATTTGAATCAAGTCATTTGCAGCTGTGAGCAGAACGCTATCAGCGTTTGAAGCCGCTGTGCAGAAATCCGTCTGTGCTCTCTATCTTTCGTTTTAGGCACATTCAAGCCTATTGTGACTATAACATGTTCTGCGTCTGCACTCTGACAGAGGCGGGGAGTTTTCCTCTGCCCTTCTGGGAGCCTTCTGTCGTGCACAGGGCATCCGCCAGACGTTCACGCTTCCGGCCTCTCCACAGCAAAATGGGATTGCTGAGCGCCGCATTGGCATGGTCATGGACGTCGCTCGTACGTCCATGATCCATGCGGCTGCTCCCCATTTTCTGTGGCCGTTTGCGGTTTGGTACGCAGCGCATCAGATCAACCTTCAGCCCCGGGTCTCCTTGCCGGAGACCTCCCCCACCTTGCGGTGGACGGGGAAGGTTGGCGATGCGTCTGTGTTTCGTGTCTGGGGATCTCGGGCGTTTGTCCGCGACTTGTCTGCGAACAAGCTGTCCCCCCGTACTCTTCCCTGCGTCTTCCTTGGCTTCCCCCCTGACGCGCCTGGTTGGCAGTTTTACCACCCCACCTCGCGCCGTGTTCTGTCCTCCCAGGACGTCACCTTTGACGAGTCGGTTCCTTACTACCGTCTCTTCCCCTACCGCACTGCGCCCCTCCCCCCGCCGCCGCTCTTCCTTGCGCCAGGTCCCCCCCGGTAGACCCTCTCCCCCCTCAGGGTCCTGCCCCGTCAGGTGTTTCCCAGGTAGACGCAGACGAGCCTGTCGAGGTAGCTGTTGACTCTGGTGCTGCTAGGGGTGCTGAGTCTGGGGGTGCTGAGCTTGGGGGTGCGGAGCCTGGGGGTGCGGAGCGTGGGGGTGCTGGGCCT